TATATATAGGATAGGAGTTCTCGGTGAAAATGAAAACTTGGAGAGTTTACATTATTAGTTCCTCTCTCCCGGTTAGAAACAGCAAAGCTTCTGAACTCCGAGGAAAAAAGCAGAATATTTGATGGAAGATTCGTAAATCTTTATTGAACAGAAGAAGAAAAAAACCCTACAGTGGTTGTGGCCGCGTCTGGACAATGAAGATGTCGTTGCCAACTAAACATCCTTCAACATCCTGAGGACACTCGAACTCACGTTCGAGGAAGAAACCAACCACTCCCAGACGCGTGCCCAGCTGCCGCCGGAATATGGGGTCGACTGTTAACGGTTTGTTGCTGTAGTCTACTGTTAAGTGAAGCACTTCTCCATCTGCAGGACCACTGCCACTCACCACTAATTCCTCGCTGAAGTTAGCGAACGCCAAAGTACGCACCGACCCGTCAAATTTATCGATCGCAAGACGCCACGGAGTGCCCCTTGTGCCCGAAGCGAGAGTTTCACCAAGTCCAGGAGCAACTTCAGCCTCGACCAAATTATCATTCTTGTCCGTAGGGCTTAACGTGTGTAGAACAAAGGACAGATCCGGCGAAAGCATTTCTTGCACCAGAACAGCCATCACAGCCGCCTCCTGAGGCACACCAGCAGCTCTACGGCTTGAAACTGCTCTCCGTGTGTATAGGGAAGCCCAAACACGTCCAACAGCCTGTCCAAACGCTATCGGATTTGAAAGACTGACATTCGGAATTGATTCATAAAGCCCAGCAGCCGACATTCCAGCCAAGTCCTCGACGTTTGCACTAGAGCGGACTATTAAACGTGCACTGTCCTGGAAAATTCTTCCTAAGCTTTCAAAGATTTCTTTCGAAGGTTGCAACGAAGAAATCAGCTCCTGTAGGTCATTACAGAGTTTATCGAGTTCTCCATCGATTTTAGCTGTTTCGATATGTCCAACCAAAGATTTGAATGTTTCCATTGACCCGCTTCGTTCCAAAGCCATCTCCATAGATCCAAAAGGTATTACTGCTCCAGCCGGCACTTTAAACGACGCTGGAACCCCCTGGTCATTGTAAACTGCTATTTGAGCAACAGAATACAAAGTTAGAAACGACATGAACGCTGATATATAACGAGGAAGAGGAAGACAGAACGTGAATATCAAGCTTTGCCTCAACGAAATTATATGACAAACTATGCAATTTGGATTCACATATTTTGTAGCAGCACAAGAAGTCAACGATCTCTACATTACCTGAATGTCTCAGCACGTTAGACTAAGCTTCAAATTTTTACATGTAACATAAGCAATTTTTAAAATAATTTTTTATTAGTCACTGTTGACAATGAGTAAATTATGGTTCTCACAAGTAAGAGTTACATTCTAAATAAGTAACTTTCTTACTAACAACAAATTAACATATCCAATTACGTTTGAAAACTAAGGAGTAATTTTTACTTTTTTTGAAAACTAAACCAATCATGCTCTTGCTATGAAAAAATGTTAAAAGCCACATTTCAGAGTCACTGAATGAACAACTGATATTTACAACATCATGATGTACTAACGAGATGCTCAAAAATGATTCATGAATTACATTGCTGCACAAAAAGTTACGTTGGTGAGCTGCTTCTCAACATAATGTAGGTCATTGACTGGTAGAGATGAAACATTTCAATTCGAGAAGAAGAAAATTGATTTCAAAAAAGAGAATGCAAGAAGTTGCGGTACCTTTACTAGATGCTGAGGCCAAAGAAGCTAGGCGACCACAAGCAGCAGCTTTTGCACCAGAACTTCGTAGATCAGCATCTCCAAGAAGTACAACACCTCCACTAGATATGATCTGAATGCCGTTATGGCATCTTAGAAAATGTATTTGAAATAAAGGATAGTTGGAAGTGATTTAGAAACTTATACCCGATTTGATTTAGAAGTTTCAACAGCGAGTGATGAAGAATTATTTTTGATAGAGTTTCCAATCGTTGATGAAACAGTAGTCAATTGTTTTTCCTGTGGAATATTACCGTTGCCATGCTCTGTCAAAGCTGGAGTCAAGTTGACACCAGCAGATGATGCTTCAATCCTGAAAAGAGTGGGTAACGGAATAGGCAACTAAAGAAACCACTTTAAGTAGTTCTATCATGTGATAGTAACTTATCATAGAAGTGGTTGAGCTTTGTATATATATATATTTATGCAACGAAAAACTGAGTGTGGAAATATTGAAAGAAAATAACCTCACTGATTTCCCGCTCATATTTTTTATATCAGCGGATTTATCATCGTCTTCACAGGTCACAAATACTACTTTCTCCTGTAGATCGCAAGTAGATCGTGGATTTCATCATTTGATAAACAACTGGATACGTGGTTTATAATTAGAAAAAGGAACTATAAGACTTGCTTGCCGAGCCCTAACACCAAGATGCGATAAATGAGGCAACTCCTGCAGAAGTATAACTCCAGTTATGTTGGCCCCAGCAGCTGTTACCTGGCAGACGGCCCAACAACATAAGTTTAGGACATGTTTGGAACACAATATTAGATAGGATAGAACAATGAACATAATTTTTAATTTATTTTTCTCTTAACACTTCCCACTGTTGTCTGAGTCCTCCTTGCCAAACATGTTAATGTATGCTTTTCTTTGAGAAATTCGTGTTTAAGCACACAAAAATATTCGACTTCCTACATTCTAAAACTAAAACATTGAGATATGTAAAATGATGCACAACCTCTTCATCTCCATCGGCTTTATTCACCACAAGAATGACTGGTCCTGTTACAGATGAAGGAACTGATCCTGGAACAATGTTTTCTACCTGAAATCCACAGTTACATGTAATAGGGGGTGACAATAAAAGCAAAGCCTTGGCCATGGCTTGATGAGTTGGACAATTAATGATTTAAAAATCTATGTATCCCTCTCTTCGACAGTATACTTTACGAGTCCTGATAGGCATATCAGACAGTACCTGGATCAGGGTTCCAAAAGCATCTCCTGGAACAAGAACGTCCCAACCCTGAGACCCTAGAGTATTTCTTACAGCCTTCGAAAGAAGTGTACAAAGTTTGGACACCTGAAAAATTACACTATATTTCCAAACAAAAATTAGATGGCCACATTAATTTTATGACATATTTGGTAGAGAGAATTAGATAAAACTGGACAGTGCTAAAGAAGAAAAATAAGGTTTTTGTATATTATCGTGTCCAGTCTTACCCAAAATTTTGTACCAAACATGAGTATCAAACAAAAAACTTTATAACAAAAGCAGATTTGCTGAGTATGCGGTGGCATATGACTACATATTAAACTAAAACTACCATACCCAGCACGAATTTCAGCTTCGGCATATGTCCTCACACTGTTTTCTGGGATCCCAAAAGCTTTTCCCAATAACTGCAAGACCCGGGGAGTAGGTCGAAATTCAAAATAACTAGACTCAAATTTATCATGTACACATCAAGGTAACTATTGAAGAAGATGAAGTATAAAAATTTAGTGGTAAAGGATCTAATAAATCCTGAAATCATCATTGTAACATCAGGTTTTCAACATTAACAAATGCACATGTAAACACCCTGCTTAACTGTTGCGCAAACACTTTATCGGAAGTAAAGAGGGATTGCATTTGTTGAAGTACAAAAAATAGAGGACATGATGTGATCATGCATGTGAAAGAAGGCTTTTCACTATCTGGGACCTCAACTCTAGCTAATAATGTCGACTGTGTAAACAGAGGCGGAGCCAGGAGAGTAGAGTTGTATGGGCAAATTTCAAAATATTTTAATTGTGGGGGCAAAAATGAAAATTATAAGTAACTTATGTGAAAATCTTGTGTAAAATCTTGAAAAATCTATTATAAAATTTTGGATTTCAAATTTAGTATACTATAGATCCGACCATGTGTGCAAAGGAACAATTACTGATATAAGTCCAAGAGTGGTTGTTATAAATACTTGGGATGTTCTTTTTTGAGTTGACTGGCTAAGAGCATATTTAACCAAGTTTAAAAAGTTTACAACAGCCAATTTTAATAAATAAAAAAATCGTTAAAGTTGGAAATAAATTGCGCTTTGATTGGTGAAATAATCTCTCTCCCTAATAAGTTACTTACTTTGACAGTAAGCTAACACTTTCAAAATAAGTAATATTTTTTGACTTAAAATTAAGAAAAAAGTAATGTATCCAAACATCTTTGGAAACAAAAAGTTAATTTGACTTTTTTTAGGCTTGGCCAAATATGCTTTAAGTTATTAACTTGAAAGCTTAATTTAGACAAAATCAATAAATAAGAATAACCAAACATTAACTAACCTGAACGTTTTGAGGGAATATTTGAAGAAGTGTCTCAGAATACTCTTCAGTGAGTCTCTTGGCTCTATCCAGCGTAGCTTTAAGCCTTAAACCCCATATTATCTTACCATCTTCACTACCTTTTAACGTAACCACGAAGAAATTTTAGAAAAAATTAAATTACATAAAACCATCAGAAATTCAATGAAGAAAACAGGTGCCTTCAGTTTCCAGAAGGCCTCTCTCTTGCCAAGCCAGAAGCTCATTCCCGATTGCTCTACATTCTTCCAGGTTCCAGCCTGATAGGACCACCTGATGGATGCCAATGACAAGAGCTCCAATTGGATTACTCCAAGAGAAGACATTTTTTCGCTCTACATTTTCCGTAAGCCAAGAAGTTCCTCCAACAGCTTCAAGTGCATTAAGAAACCTAAACAGATAATCCATTAATAAAAGCATCATTTCATCACCAGTATCAAAAAAGTGTAACCGATTTGTGATTATGCGAGAATTCTTAAACAAGTCTTATATAGAATGGTCATCAGAATCATTTAAATATATCTGTGATTGAAAACTTCCATTATTCTAATCACTACTTTTGAACTTTAATGCAGAATCTACCTGCTTAAGAGAATAAATGCGTAGTCCTCAAGCCCAATCTCACAAAGACGCCACTGCACAGTAACAAAATTGAAGTATGTTTTCAGATTAAGGCCATGTTTGGTAGGGATTCTAATTTTGCTACAGTAAATCAATTCTCATTTTCAACCACACATTCTTCAATAAAATAATATTTTCCATCACATCAATAATTTTTTCTTCTTTTTCAACTATACATTTCCCCATATCACTATTCAAAATCAATTCTTCTCCAAAAAATCTCTACCAAAACAAGCTAGTTTCATTCTTTCTATATGACTATATGACCAGAAATTATCACTTTTAAGCATATCTAGCACAGAACATAGCAATTCAAGGCGCTTTTTTAATAAATCAAACATTCCAAAATTCATATGAATATCAAGATATGGCAACGAGGTCAAAGTTCAGTCAAAGGATTCTTGCGCCGTAATTGGGTGTCATCGTAATTCTTACTACCTTGAGTGATTCCCACTTGAAAGCTAAAACTCGACCATTGCTTCCGAGAGAAGCATTCGAACCTACTCAGTTTACTATCGTGCAATAACTATCGACAAGACATGAATACAACCTAAGAACGACATTACTGATGAAGATGTTATATTAAGGTCTCGTTTGGGAGAGATTTAGATTTTTCTACAGTAAATCAATTCTCATTTTCAACCATACATTCTTCAATGAAATAATATTTTCCATTACATCAATAATTTTTTCTTCTTTTTCAACCACACATTTTCTATCATATCACTATTCAAAATCAATTTTTCCCCCAAAAATCTTTCCCAAACAAGCTTTAAGTTTCAAATTTAAAGCAAAATGAGACATTCTTATGAAAAACGATTTTGCCTTTTGGCGCATTGCTATTGCAGCATCGGGAGCATCATTTCGAAGTCCACTCTCAAGACCTTTCACAATTTCTTTGCGAAGACCATCCAAAGCTTTTACCGTCTCCATCAACACTCCCAACCCTTCACTCGAATTGTAATTTGATCCATCCATATTATCTAGTGCCTGAAGAGAGAAATAAATTTAACTTCTTATTGAATGCAGAAAAAATAGGTTCAAAATGTTAGAAACAAACCCTTTATTTGCCAACAAATTGAAAATAAAAGACGTATACCAAAAACTGAGTAGAAAAAATTTAATGGTATGAAATTTTAAAAAATCAAAAACTTTCTTCCCATATTTGAGGTATCTACAACGCAGTCAAAGACCATACTGATCAAGAGTTTAGAGAATATATGTGTCCTTAAACCAGCGCATGCACACACACGCACCCACAAAAAAAAAATGGAATCTGCTCTGTGTAAAAACATACCAGAAAGAATGAGTGCGACTATACCCAGTGCAGCTCATTTGGAAAAATATTTTTTGCTACATAAGGATTGTGCAAAGACAATATTTGGTATTAGACAATGCTCATGTCATTGTAAAAAATAATAACTGCTTTTACTCGAGCAAGACAAAATATCTTCTGTCATGGACCAAATACAAGACAAAGTAAGGATTTCTAGTCCACTATGTTAGTGGCTAGTTGATCAGATGCTGACAGCCAGTTAAGAATACTTATCATGTTTTTGACAGTGTTAAACCCTCGTTACAAAGAGTAAGAGAAATCTACCACTATACTTGTTTCTGGTTATAGAAATATATAATAATAAGGCAAAATGATAGTATTCAAACTAAAGAAGAACGATAATCATTAAGTAGGAAGTTCACATGCTGGGTAATAGACAGGAAAGTGATTAAAAAAAATGAAGCAAGCTAAAAGAACCTCAGCAAAAATATGGAAGGATGGTAACTTGTTTTGATGCTTATGACCTATCACATAAAAGATTTGGGTGAAAGTAAGATGCTGCTTGTCCAAGTTACTCGTCCTTATGTGAGGGAAGTATGGGACTTAGATGCAATACTAAAAGGGCTACTCTATTTATCACTCATGTGATGGACAGCATAATTGCTCATTCTTGTTGACGGAAAACTGAAGCATGGAACTATGGAAGAATAGATCACTATGTAAACATATAAGAATATTTATAACTTCATCGGGCAGATAACAAGAAGGCATCCAATGAACAAATTACAGAAAAATATAAGATGGTTTTTAATTGTTTCACACTCTAAAATCAGTAGATTGATTCACATAGTAAAAGCATTAGCCGTTAATTTGTTGGAGAGTGATTAATTCGGCTTAAAAGTTGAAGCCTTGAAGGGTTTGGTAGTCATCATCCACCTCGTTAGTTCTTATCCCACCTCCACCTTTATACTTCTCTTCAAGTCTTCAAAAATATAATATTTCTTAATATATATTAAGCTTTCATGGCTATATAAAGTTGAATGTTACAAATTATTTATCACCAAATATAAGCTGCAGTATTTTATGCAAGAATGAAGATTCCCAATGGATAATGCAGAATAAGGTGACTACATCATGATCAATTTAGTGCACATAATTCACAACAATAACATGTCTACATTCATGTCAATGCATTCTAACAGCAATATATATCAGTAACTGTAAAATTGAAATCATAATTTCATAGAAATAATACCCTTTTCGACTTCAAAAACAAGGAAAGGGCTGATGAGCTATCATTCAGAGATTCTCTTATCGACTCCAGCTGTTCTTCAAGACTGTAATAATACAAAGTCGTGATCAGGAACCAAAAGAATCATTTGTTGGTCAACTACACCTTCTGTTCTCAGGCAAAATTTACTTATGTATGGACATGTTTGTCGTCAAATGATACCATTACAAAGTTTGAGAAGTTTCCAACAGTGTGAAATAAAAAATTAGCTTGTGCATAAATTATGTACTACAAAAACAAGAATCTATCGGATTTTTAATATTGAATTATACAATATCCAGCATGGCGCATCATTTAGCAGTAGAATGACATTTTTAAGACTATTATTATACTTGATTTTAAAGCATGAACTTGGAAATGTCAAACAACTCCCAACCATGGGCGAAAAAGAATCATGTCTTCCTATCTAATGTGAGAATTGGACTCGTACTATGTTAATAATAATCATTTGAATTGTTAAAATTGAATCAGAGAGTGTATAACTTCAGACTGCAATACATGTTCTCTGTCAGAACTATCTCCAAATAGACAAAGGCTAAGAAGAAGATGCTATGGCTAAAGGCAAAAAAATAAATAAAATGACATAAAGCTTACCTTCCAGCATTGAAGAAATCTTTAAGTTCTTGATGAAAGATCTTGAATTGTTCAACAAATGCTTCACTATATTCTCCGGGATTCTTGGTGATTCTGGCAAGCATTGATTCTGTGGCAACCAAGTCTTCAGGGCCAGCATTTCGATGAAGCTTGTTTTGTATTGTATGCTTGATTTCTTGCTGTATTGTCAGTATTACTACCTTAAGTCCTCAATTTTTTACCCAAAAGAAGAAAAAGACGGTAAAATAAATACAAGACCCTTTTTCTAATGATAACCTTAAGATCATGAGGGATATCATTCCTATGAGCAATATCCCTTATTCGCGTTAGAGGAACAGATGCAGTGAATTCTGCCTTAAACGACGGCAAACAAGGATGAATCTTACGGATGACAAGTGTTTCCTGCATATTTTAAGACGCAGAACCTTTCATGAGGAGATAAGAACAAAGGATACTTGAGCAGAACCAGAAAAGAATAAGTGAAATGAATTAATTTGATAGTTTGTTGCAATGAAAATACGATCAAAAAGTCATTTGGCATTTAGTTAATAAAACAATGTAAACAATCAGCTAGTTTCGGACATGATGAGAACACGACAAAGAATCTTATTATTTCAATACATCAGTTTTGTGCGAAAAGGATTAGTTTGATTATGTTTGTATTTGGAGCAATTTCTGTGCTTCTAAATATTGCTTAGAACAGGATGCGTAACACCATGTAATCGAATTTACTCTTCAAAACCTCTCTACATCGTGAGTATGCGGTTTTCCACAATAATCTCAAACTATAAGGTCTTGAAGTTGTTAAGTCATGAAAACACATGTTCAACAAATTGTCTTTGAAGTATTGCTCTCAAGTACTTATTCCAAAAAGAATGTCCCCTTTGTTCAATTTCAGTTTGTGTCATCTTACTTCCCCAATCAATAACTCCCACCCAATAGAAAAAGAGGAAAATAAACTCGGGCACATCTTTAATTGCTAAGTTATTACTGTGCTTCAACCGTTCTTCCTGCACTCAGTGCTACAAATCATCAATAAATCAAGTTTGAGGTTTAGAATGCACCAGCTCCCTGTGCAGCACTTGTGCCTAATCATTGTAATTCATAACTCCGTTTCAATTTTCTAACAAGCTGTGTTTTCATTCCACCGGTTGCTATCCAAACATCAATTGATTTCTTAAAAATGTTTTGACATTTACGTGTTCGTTGAATCACCTCATTTAAAGTTTTAAGCTATTACAAAGCCACTGTGTCACCCACTGCTACTAAGCCCCTGATTGATGCTCGTTATTTCAAAAAAAAAAAAGAGTTTTGAATAGTATTTTTAGGACAACGTGGTTAAAAAGTAGTAAAAAGTTTTAGGTTTATAGGTACAATATTTTATTGTGTAAAAGTGAGGTTGAAAATGATACTATACCAAAAAGAGTTTTAAAACAATGGGCACCAAACATGGCCTAAATCACCACCTCTTCAAGTTAAACTGGCGCTTACTAGTGCATCACGAGCCGTTGTGCTAGGTGCTAAAGCATGGGTGTTTTGTATCCAACTAGTTTTTCACATTTTTCTCCACCGCGTGTTATTTATTTATAACTCAGCATGTGCAAACTCAAGTCATATTTTTATCAAACACTTGAAATTTTCATAAATAGGTGGCAATGAGACCTAAACTTGAGACTTTGCCACTTTAGTGCCATGTTGAATCATCTTGTCTAAAAGCTTAGGCTATTAGAGAGGGAAAATATATTTGTTTACATTTCAAATTCAACATGTTTCAATTTGCGACACATAAAATTTCTTTCACAAAGACCCGTTATGCTAATCTACAGTTGTCGGTTTAACCTTGTGTCAGGGTGTCATTGATAAAAGTGTGATCTTTTAGGTTCCACATGTGCAAGATGATGGGAATGGAAACAAAAATTCTCTGTGTAATGACCATAAGAGGTATAATCATTGAAAAGCAAGCTAGAATACAATATTAATCCAACTTGATGAAATAAAAAAAGTAACAATAAACCAACGAAAAAAATTATGAAAATCCAGACACTTACAAAAAAAAGAAGAATCCAAAGTATATAATCGTATTTTTTTTTTTTTAATAACCGTGGATGTCCGGCTAACTTGCGCGCACCTCGACTAATTCCACGGGTCCCTGAAGTTTACGGTCGGGTAATCACCTCAGTGGCTCTGAGGGGACTCGAACTGGTGATCATTGAGGAGCAAACCCAATGCCTCACCAATTGAGCAATCCCTCAATGTTGTATAATCGTATTTTTTCAACATTTACTAATAAATTCATGTTCCATTGCTAACTTTAAAGCATCAAAACAAATTACAAGGAAACTACAATCCTGTTTTGTTATGATTGTTTATAATGATCAGTAGTAAAGTACCTGAGGTGAAGCATCTTGTCTGCTGGAAATTCGTTCCAATTCACGAAATATTTGCCTGGAAATCTCAGCGTGTCTATTTGGTCGATGATGCCCCCCATCTTCAAAGCAAGGAATTTGCCCTGTGTTAATCCACTGCATAGAATCTGATCTAATAAGGGCACAAATTAATCTATTCAAAATAGCTGTTTAAGGGAATATTATAATACCTTCAGATATATAGCTGAATATGTAAGAGCCTCCAATCGGTTTTCACTCTCAACACTTTCAAGCAGTAGCTCCCGCACAACCTCAAGCTTCATGCATAAACAAATCCAGAATAAAAGGTGTTAGTTGTAAACATAGTGCCGATCTTGAAATATATTGGGTGACATCTTAGATGTGCATACTTCAGAAAATTGGAACAGGACAGGGTGAAGATTCAGTTGAACAATTTCATACTATATCAAGAAGAGCAAGAAGTTCTATTATTCAATAAAGTAGTATTCCCTCCATTCCATCACATTCTTTTTCGGATGTCTCAAACTGATTGTCATTCTACACGATAGAAAGTTATTCATTTTCTCTTTCCTACACCACCATTCTGTCAAATTTGAAAGTTTACAGATACTGCCAAATTGACGGCCCCTAAATTACAACTGATACTAATTTTTCAAGAAGAAAATATAGATCAGCCAGGTTTCAATATTTATTTTTCTATCTTCTAAAAGATGCAGCTTGGCGGAATTTTACATTTACATTGGGCAGAGTACAAATTAACTTAAAATTTTAAGGTAAATGAAGAGATTCAAACAACAGCTTGGGATGATTTTTAAAATTTTTATAATCTTTTTACAAATTTTATTACGTAAAATAGAGCTTATCTGCTAGTCAAGACAGCTATGTAAAATTGTTCACACATTTTCTCATTTTACACAGGGTGAAAGCCTCAGTGTTTTTCTTTTCCTGAACGGGGATGGGGGACATCATAGTGAAAATAACATAGGTGCAAATGAAGAAAACAAGATGTGAAGGTTAGAAAAAAGGAAAATGCTGAAACAATATAAGTTAGTGCATAAAGCGGAGGAAAAAATGTTCAACCAGGATGTGTAAAAATTGACCAGATATTACCTCTACAGAAATGAGGCAAAATAGCCATGCACTCGCATTGCTGTCTCCAATCATGTTATACGATGCAAACATTAAGTAAATTTGATAACTCTAAGGTGAACAGGCACAAAGCTATAGTCGTAGTATGAAATTTAAATATCCAAGCTTAATTAGAATCAGCAATTTAACAACTAAGGGTCATCATATTGGGCTGTTATCTCTAAAACAAAGACACACAAGTTTTTTGAAGGATTTAAACACGAAAAACTACAAAAAATGACTTTTTTTTCCTACACATTAGCTATGAAACAAAAGGTGTTATTGTATTTGTCCTAGTTAAATATTTTAAAATTTTGAAGAACTGCACTCCTTTGTAATAGGCAGCTGGGGATATCATAACCTTTGGGTCATGCAACAAAAGTAAAACAATCCAGATCATATATTCTGACCCTTCTAAAACCATTATTCCTTTTCCAAGTTATTATGTAATTGTGTCAAAAAGCATTTTAACTTCAAGACCTTGTGAAGACTTAATAAATCAGATACCATCAATTTTGATAACAAGAGGATGAAAGATATGTTTTTGAAAGTAAGTATTCAACAATCAAGAAGGAATTGCATCTCTTACAAAAAGAATTCAAAATTAGAGAGCTGAAGTGAAGGAGATTTATTAACTATAAAAATTCAACAAACATCAAATCATCAACTATGAATTAAATCTTAACTCTGTCCAATTCTTGCATATATATTAACTTTATAGTGATAACATATTGCATGAAAAAAAAAGTTCATCTCAATAGACCAATGAAGTAAGACATTTAGCCCCCCCCCCCCCCCCCCCCCCCCCCCCCCCCCCCCCCCCCCNTTTTTTTGATAACCGTGAAAGTCCGGGCTAGCTTGCGCGCACCTCGACTAATTCCACGGGGCCTTGAAATTTATGGCCGGGTACCTACCTCAGTAGCCCTGAGGGAACTCGAACTGGTGATCATTGGGGAGCAAACCCAAGGCCTGACCAATTGAGCAATCCCTCGTTGCCCTGTTTGAGCACCATTATCTAAAAAATCATTTTTTCCAAATTCATCTTCAAGCACAAAATCCCTCCAATAAAATATTTTGCACATAAACCCAAAATTTTTCTTACATTTTAACCACGGAAAACTTCACTATTACAAAGATCATTTTCAACAAAAAATGGGGCTCAATTGTAGGCTTATAACACATGGTCAATTGTGATGTCTTTCTTATTCTTTTAAAACAATAAGAAGTTTCACGGTGCAGAGTTTTGGTGAAATAGAATGTCACCTGGCTTTTCTGTAAGAAAAAAATGCAAATAGTCCTGTTGGAATTTGTAATTCTACGTTCGAGTAAAAAATTCAGTACCTTACGCCACCAGTTCCGAGCACTCTGATCACCTTCCACTAACTTCAGAGCAAGCCCTTCAAGACCTAAAGTAACCCAACTACTTTTTTTTTGTGCATCCAGCTGATCCTTCGAGCGAACAAATGAAACATCGTTCCCTTGCCATTGCCCCACGAAAGCACTCGTTGTTACTGCCTCGTTTGATGCTGAAGTAACGTTCCCATTTTCACTTTCTTCTGATTCCACTTGCTCTTCCCAAGGCAATATTTCCACGGGCTCATTAGTCGCGTTCCACTTACAAACCATATTAAAACTGCCCCCCTGAGGTAACTTCAAAATGCGATTATCACCACTTTCCCATATTAAGTTCTTCTTGCCCTTCCCTACTATCACAAATTTATACTCGATAAGCTCTTTGTTGGTTTTCAGTTCTAAATCACAAACCCATCCGTTTTCTGTCCAATTCATCATCACTTCCTTCTTCCATGACCCCAGCTCTTTTGCAGACCCCAAAATTGCGACATGCTCTCCATATTCAACTTGGTGATCTAGCATAACTTTAAGCTTCACCTTCTTACCATCCGATTCTTTTGACTGCTTTTTCTTTTTCTTTTCTTTCTTTGCTTCTTCTTCCCTGACACGAAAATTATTTTAAAAGAATATCGTCATCCTCAGAAATATAATCTTGATGCCAGAAATATATAGCAACTACAATGGCAAGGTACAGTCTTTACAACAACCTAGTATTTTTCCTTTGTTTGTAGAAACTATTACACCCGTTAATATTTCTTTATTTTGCGTTCCAAAGTTTTATCATTTCGATGTAACGACATTGATATCTACATATAATTCAAGAACGAGAAAAAAATGAAAACAGAAATATACCTGGTGTCAACAGATGAAACAGCAGAGACAATCATTCTAGGAGGCCCCCCAACTACAGGGAAAAATCCAGTGTTTCTATGGGTTGAAGAGATTGTTGATTTTTGGTTAAGAAATTTAAAAGGCCTTATACCATAATTTTGTGGGTATCTACTATTTGCGGCAGTAACAGCATTACAGTGTAAAAAACATGGGGAATCCATCAGAAGCCAGAAAATTCCAGTGGAAAAGAGTAACGAAATTAGTAAGATAAAGATACTTGTGAATAAGAGGAAATTTCAATAGTTTTGGAAGTTTGTACGGATTCCCATGAGCGATCTTGCAAGATCCAGGAATGGAATATTATATGGTTTGTGAAATGTGCAAATCAGAAGTGTGAATTCAGCTGGATTTTTTAATCCGAAGATACGGAAGATATGGTTTCTAGAGGGGAGGGGAAGGGAGGGGTGTATAATTTTCATTGATCCACGAAATTATCTGCAAATGGATACAATTTATAGCATTATTCTAAAAAATTATTCTTATATCTTGGCAAAAAGGTTTAAAAAGGAAAAATAATATAATATTCTGAACTTGTAATTAAATCCAAGCCTGTATTCGTTTAATAGATGGAGTGAGAATCGTTCTATAACAACTTTGACAATTCATTCTCATTAATAATGTCTTTCTCGTATAGCTCGCTAAAAATATTCCATACGTTTGATATTATTATCGTACATTTTAAGCGAATCAATTACAAAATAGAAATCCTCAATCAGCAATCTTGAACCATATTTCCTCGAATTTTTTATCCCTAGCCTCCATGAGCAATATTTTGGGTATCGGCTGATAGTGATCTAGGTAAGATTCCCGAATAACTCTTTCTATGGCACAATCATATTCAAATTTTGATGTAAATTAACGTTATATTTAGAGCAGACCATAAGACTTCTTCCAATCATCGAAGTGTATATAGTATTCATATTCTTGTAATGTGAAGAGGAATAAAAGTGGGGGAACAACTTATTAGTAATGTATTATATTGTTAGGTCACACGATGGTAAGAAAAAACACGCATAATAGGATGTATCATACTGTGAGACGTTGTGAAAATAACATCCACAATCTTGTTAAATTGTAATGTGTGTAAGCCAAAATTTATGAAATCCCACCATATATGAATGTAAGCATGACATAATGCATTATACTGCGACGCATGCAATGACAATAAGTGAAAAAAAAAAAAAATAGAGTTTCAAAGATAGAAATTGATTATGGGCGAAATTGTATGCACAGATAGAGTACTTGAGCATGAATGGAATTATTTGAACAACGGTGGTTCTTAGAGAAGAGTGATTTGTGGTTTATTATTTTTCACTTATTTTTTTAGTAATTTTAGAATTAAAAAAGTTAAACTGTAAAATTGGAGTCCTTTCAATAAAAGGTGTACCCAACCCAAAAGCCAGGCTCTAATTGTGCTCACATGTTTCTGACTTGATTTTCTACTTTAAATAAATAATTTTTTTTTCTGTCTACATTCTCTTTAAGGAATCCTATACTAGCCGGTAGCCCCTATGTTGATTCCTCCCTCCGTGAATGAAGTATGAAAGAGATAGAACAAAAAGAAGATATCGTGAAAAGAATTAAATTCCTCTTCTTCATCCATTCTCATTCAAACCGTGCTTCCAACATGGAATTTCATGCTTCACATAAAACGCTTGGCACTGTCTTTCAAGGGTGTTCTTTCCACCTTCAAATTTCTCTCATTGTCTATAAATGGAGCAAGTGAGATGAATTAGATTTGGTCGATTGAATCGTGTTATATGAAAGTTGTTTTAAAATTTTAGGGTATTCAATGTCTTAAAATTAACTTTTTTCCTTATTTTTTGAGGACGCTCTCATTCTCAATATATTTTGCAAATGTTACAACTAATAAAATCATCCCCTATTCGACAAACTTCTAGGATCCTGCACAAGTTCAAGTTTCATTGTCTCTTTTTTTTTATTATTTCCACCGTTTTACATTAATGACAATATTGCGTCTAAGTTTGGGAGTAATTACGTTAGTGTTAGTAAATGTTTCTATTTTTTTAGCCCATGTTTGAGTCACGTTAAAATTTTCATTATCATTCTTCTATACATTTTCAACCACACATTTTTCAATAAAATAATATTTTCATCATATAAATAATTTTTTCATTTTTTTTAACCACACATTTTCCATCAATCTACTATTGCAAAATACATTCTTCTAAAATAATGTGGCTCAAACACATATATTCTTCATATTTTAGTTCCAACTGCTTTTGCTATCTTCTCATCCATACCAATGAAACTATTTATGCTCTTGATCATACTTTTAAGTGCTTATAAACTATAGAATGTATAGATAATAAGTGATATTGAGTTGTGTATCCTACAAAATGTTAGGATAAATTATAAAACTTTTGCGCTTCTTTTCTTTTATGCTTTTTGTATGTATATATTTAAATCATTTAATAAATTCTTTTTTTGAAAATCAGATGTGGAGATCGTTTACACCAATGAGGGCGCATGCTCTACTAAGCCTTAGCCCTGCCCTTATTGGCATATGCTCCCATGACAGAAAATTTAAAGGCTCCTCAATAGTTGGAGGATGAAAGTGTTGCTTCTTTATAGTTTTAGGACGTAATAGAAGCTTCATCATAGTTAGAGATCGAAATTAATGCTTTATCATAATTGGAGGACGAAATTTATGCTTTAGCCTAGTTGTAGGATGAAATTGATGCTATATCATAGTTAGAGGACGAATGGGATGCAATATTATAGTTGGAGGATGAAATATATGTTTCTATATAGTTTAAGGACGAAGCTATGCTTTATAATAGTTTGAGGATAAATTCGTTGCTTCTTCATATTTTGAGGACGAAATTAACGCTTTTATATTATTTGTTGACTAAATTGACGTTTTTACATAGTTGGAGGACGAAATTGATTCTTTATTATAAATATTAGGACTAATTTGAGTCTTGTACATAGTTGGAGGATGATATTGACGCTTCATCATAGTTGGGGAAAATTCGGCCACCTCCTCCTCCTACCCCTTCTTCATCTCTCTAGTCTCTTCTCTTGCAACAAATCCTTTTCCCCGTAGTCAAGGTGTTGCCCATTTATACCTGGCCTGCTCTGTACTTGAGCCAAGGATCCTCAGTTACTGTATTCCTTGCAGTGATAGCAATGGCAACTTCTGCCTTCCCTGTCTGCTCTTCACTTAAACCCACCAAGTTTCTTGATTTGCAACAAGGCCGTTCCCATTTCTTTAATCCCATTAAACCCGTTACAAAAAGAGGATTCTCTTCTTTTCCATTCTTGAATTCATATAGTATTACTAATAACAATTGTGTTTATAATGAAGATCCAATTTTTATCGACAGTTGGTTTAGGAATAGGAGGCGTTCTCTTTTCATAACATCAGTTTCCCCTCAGCAAGTATTCCCTCTCTCTAATGAATTTCCGTTGGACCGTTTGCATTTGATTTTTACGTTTTTGTTGGATTTTTCTTTAATTATTGAATTATGCTGTGAATCACTACTAAGGATTAGCTTGAAAAGACAGATTAGAAATACGAAAGGGTACAGTGAAATGCAGCTCAATGTTCTAATTATTAGTAATATTTTTCAGTATAATGCATCTAAACTCATTCCTTTCTGTGTTCTCGAAAATACTACAAGTTGTGTTTCTTTGCATAAAGTTCAGAATTTGGAGTTGGAAACGTGAAGGCTACAATCCAAAACGAAGTGTGTAACTTTTAATTCCAACATCCATCTTCAAGCGCCCAATCCTGCGGTAACAAATGCTGGTGGTTAGGGAAATTGGGCTGTACTAATTGAATTTTCATGATTTTTTTTTTTTTTTTGGTACCTGAATTTATTACTTGGAATTCTTGTTTTAGTGGTTGATATTCATAGGGTATTGGATAATAGCTTCGTTCAGGGTTCAATCTCCTGCATAATGAACTGAAATTTCTATGGCAA